TAAAACACTCACATATACAAGATCGCAATGGCGTTTGTTTACAAACAATCTGGCCAGTAAGGAAGATGGCCTCCAGCAGACTTCTGGGTATGCGATGATGTTACAGCAGTCTCCATCCAGGCCTCTGGCCAGGCTGTGCCTGCTGTGATGTCATTGTGTAACCAGAAGTCCACTGGAGGCCATCTTCCTTACTTGATAGATGGATGAATATCTGTGAGATTCCCAGGACGGATGTACCCGCTGATCAGAGCACACTTACAAGGGATACTCAAGAGAAGATCTCCACAGGATTTATATACCAAAGTGTTCCATGATCTTTCTTTTGTTTCAGTATGTTTATTGGGTGTGACAATAGACATGAAACATTAAGGATAAGCATATGAGTAATAAACAACCAATAAAGACCGATCAATAACAGTTACAGTCAAGGATATTCAAATAGAAGGATACTGAAACATCAGGATGATATCAATAAGCTGAAATTGTAATAAAGCCATGTCCTAAAATGTACTCTCAGACACCAAAGGGGAGGTTCTCCTTCTGCAGTCTGTCCCATGAAATGGTAACTGCGAGAGCATAAACTAGAGAAGACTAAATGAAGAAAAAGAAAAGAAAAGAAAAAGTAACATAATCAAGAGAAGGAAAGAAAGAGGGGGGATCCGGACGCGGGGGCTCCAAACGGAGTAGTCAGACAAGGCTTAGGCATGTAGAGTGGAGTGACAGAAACTCATATGAGATCCAAGGTTCCCAGACCTTAAGAAATTTAGCATGGGAATGGTTCAGAATATTGGATATTTGCTCATGGAGCAATATTGTGGTTAATTGTGTCTTTACCCTCTGAAAGGCTACACGTTGAGTCTTCCAGGCTTGCACTATGGTGGCACAGACAGAACATGCAAACTTCAGGCAGGTAGTACCATGGTGGGGATGCAAACCAACAACCCTAGTGCTGCTAGGCAGAAGTGCTAGCCACTGTGCTGCCGCTTTTGAAGCAAATAAAAAAAAAATCATGGTCATGTGGCAATATTAGGTAGATGATGTCATGAGCAACCTCGGCCCTTTGTATATGTACAGCCGTAGGGGTGGGGCGAATTACCATACAAAATCTTTATGTATAATAACATAAACAAGTAAATATAGTATAATATAATATATAAAAACACAATATAAACACATAATAATATATAATAACACAAACAAATATCTTAAAACAATGTTTTTGGTAATAGTGGTCCATTAAAAAACTGAGAAAAATGGACAGTAGGGTTGGAACTGGCAGAGAGAATTATTACAAATTTGGTCACTTCTAGGTTTATTGACAAGAAGACCGAAAAATGGAGTAATCCATTGAAGTAAATGAAAAACAATCTGGTATGCTACATGCATGTCTATCTCATTATTAACTGGCTACCACTGTCTCCCTATTAATTACACAGATGCCATATTTAGGGCAAATTAACTAAACAGAAAAGTATGGCTTAAATTATTTTGCTTACTAACCCATAATTTTCAGATTAAATTACATGAAATGAAAGTTTATCCAATTAGCGTAAATTTTCAAAGCCTCAGTCTTTATTTGTAAATTATTTAGCTACATTAGCTGATGAATACTCTTAGAAGTAAATACTTTTTATGTCTGCCTTTAGGTGGCATAGTTTGTTTTAACATGTGAAATGTTCCTTAGTAGGATGAAAAAAGCATAGAAAGAAAATAGAACTGTTTAAGTTTCATTGAGAGGAAATACACATCTTGAAATAATACTCTAAAGCTAAATAAATTGAGTGATTAAAGGGACCAGAAAGATTTATGAATATTTGTGTGCTATTATCTGCCCCTAAAATCAAGTAGATTCATAAATGTTTCCGGTACGGCCTACTCTTGAAATTTGGTGTTTTACGCTAGTTTTCAAACTACTTTTTAGTGTAGACAAGTTTATACTAGTTTTTAATGAATAGATGTTTATACTATTTTTCATGTAGAAAAATGTATACTAGTTTTTAAGCATTCCAGTTTATAATTTCACATTTGAGCATCAGGATAACTTTAGGGACATGTTGACTTGCGATGCATGTAGCGATCCATGTCAAAAAGTGGGCGTGGTTAAATTATTCTGAATATTGGGCAAGGTTTACTAATCTGATTTAAAACAACAAATACTACATGGGAGTTATCCCAAATTAAATTCACCAACTGGACCCATTGCCCCCCACCCACCGTGCACACTACATCCCTCCCTGTACACATTGCCCCTCCTCCCTATACAAATTGCCCCTCCTCCCTGTACACATTACTCCTCCTCCCAGTACACATTGCCCCCCTGTTCACACTGCTCCCCCCTCCCATGTACAGACTGCCCGCTTCATGTACATACTGTACTGCCCGCCTACCTACACACTCTACCCTGCTCCCTGCACACACTGCTCCCTCCCTTCACACATTGGCCATCTTCCTTTTACACGCCATCTGTACACAATACCCCCATCCCTGTAAACACTGCCCTCCCTGCACACACTGCCCCCACCTTCATATTCACACTGCCCCCCCCCCCCTTCTTGTGCATACTGCTCCCCCTCTATTGCTCAGCATGGCAAAGGTAAAACAGAAATCGGTAAATTCACCTGTTGCAGATTGGAGCCTCTGCTCATTCTGCCCTGGGGTTCCCTGCATTCCTGCAGAGATCCTGCGGTAGTCATACTGCTTGCCTGCCCTTGCCCCCAGCAGGCTCTGTCCTTCCCACAGTCCACAGCAGCTCAGTTTCTTCTTCCTCTCTGTGATCCCGGGTGGTGGACAGGACTCACTCTGGCTAAACACACAGCCCAGCACCATTGATAATCGCCAAGACAGAGCAGCACTGTGGACCAGGGGCTACACATGGATCTCACACAGGCTTGGCCCTTAAACATGTATGCCTTTGTTCATAATTCTCCTTTACATGGCGGATTGATGGCAATACTAGTTGAGCAGGGCCACCATCAGCTCGAATTTCATCTGCTTCACAGGAATTCGAGCTGTGTATCACCAGCATATCTCCTTCTTCAAATTCAATCTGTTTGTTCTGTGTGTGGTTGCTTTTTCTGTGTACTTCCTTCACTTGGCTTTCTCTATACATTGTGGTGATGTAGGAAAATGTGCAGGTTTTTACTTTTCTATTAATTCTGAAAGCCACCTCAAAAATTGCAATATCATATAACCACTTTTAAACATGTTCATTATTATGTACCAAGTAAAAGTGTGCAGGGTTCAGTAGCTTAAGTCAATCATCTTTTATTAGTCTGACTGCTCAAAATTAAAGAAAGATGACACCAATATTGATTGCTTTTGTCTTTGGGTGGCTCTTTTACAGCTCAGTAGTTACAAGCCACATGACAAATTTAAGCATCACCTGCAATTATCAGAGTATTATTGGGCTTAAAATGAATCTGTGTCCAGATTATGGGTAAACAAGCATTAAAAAAAACATTTTAAAACAAGACCCTATACCTCAGAAGCTATAGTCAGTGTGGAGAAATACATCTTCAAATTTCAAAACAGAGACACTGAAATTGCAACTACTTTCCCCTTTACTTTCTACAGAAGCAGAATCTTGGCAGCCTGACAGACTTGTAAGCTGTTAGAAACTGACTGAAACCCAACTTTAAAGTCTCTGTTGTGATCTTTGAGAATAAATTACTTCAAAGTACATGCAGCTAGATAGGTGAATGAGGGTTTGTTTTTAAGGATCCTTTACTGCTTGTTAAAGTATATGTAAACCCTCACCTTGTAAAACAACCCAAAAACAAAAATAAAACATTTTATGCACTTTTTTTTTAACTTTTTTTAAAGTGGTTGTAAAGGCTCAAGGTTTTTTAACTTCATGCATTCCATGCATGAAGGTAAAAACCTTCTGTGTGCAGCAGTACCCCCAGCCCCCTCAACACTTACTTGAGCCCCATCGTGATCCAGCGATGTGCACAACAGCTTTGGTCTATGCCTCTTCATTGGCTGAGACAGAAAGCAGGAGCCAGTGGCTCCCGCTTCTGCCAATCACAGCCAGTCAGCCAATGAGGAGAGTGAGGGGACGGGGCCAAGCAATGGCTCTGTGTGTGAATGGACACACAAAGCAGTGGCTCGGGAACACGCATGCTCGGGTGCCCCCTTAGCAAGCTGTTTGCTAGGGGGGCACCAGACAGAAAGAAGCAGCCAGGAGCACCGATGGGAGACCCGAAAAGAGGAGGATCTAGGATGCTCTTTGCAAAACCACTGCACAGAGCAGGTAAGAATAACAGGTTTGTTATTTAAAAAAAAAAAAAAAAATGAACCTATAGTATCGCTTTAAGTGATTACATACTATCTGTTCTCAACACACAATGATTTTTCTGTTAAAGCTGAACTGCAGGTGCAAAAACGTTGAATTAAATATATTTCTCAATAGCCACAAAGCATATAAATACACTGTGTACACCAAAGCCTTTACAAACCCAGATATTGTCTTGTAAACGTAGCAGTGACATTATCACTGTGTTTTACTATACAGAGCCTGTGCAGAGAGCAGAGCTATAAAGAGGTGGTAAACACAGCTTAAACAGTTGTACCTACAGGTAAGCACTTAATAAAGCTTACCTGTAGGTACAAGACATATCTCCTAAACTGTTTAGGAGATGTTCATGTTTCTCCAGCTGGTGATGTCACCTGCATAATCATGCTGTCCCTTCAGAGCTCTGTGCCACGGGCGTGACTCCTCTGCGCATGCGCTGGAGAGACATAATCACTGCTTGGCCATTCAAACAGCCCTCAAACCCAGAAGGAAGACCATTTGGAAAATGGAAGTCCTGTCAGCGGTGCCAGCGCACTGCTGGGTGGCTTCATTTTAAGGTACCGTATTTTTCGCTCCATAAGATGCACTTTTTTCTCCCAAAAAAATGGGGACATGTCTGTGCGTCTTACGGCGCGAATATGGAGTGGCTGGCCCAGTATTCCTCCCGGTGCCATCGTGTTAGAATACCGGGCCGGCCGCTCAACTCTTCTGTGCAGCAGAACCTGCTCTCGGTCCTACCTGTTCCTTGGTCCAGCGGTGTCCTCATCACCTCATCATCTTTAGTATGGGCACCCGGCTGTGACAGCTTGCGGCTTCACAGCCGGGTGCCCACTGCGCATGTGCGAGAAGCGCTGTGCTTTGTGAATGGCCGGTAGTCTTCTGGGACTTGTCACATGTCCCAGAAGACTACGGGGAGAGTGGTGATCACAGCCGAAGTGGGAGCGGGTACCTGTCAAATTTGGGTACTACAGGAGATTGGTCATCTCCTGTAGTATGTCTGCAGTCTCTGGTCTTCTCCTGTAGTATATCCGCAGTCTCCGGTCATCTCCTGTACTATGTCCACAGTCTTTGGTCATCTCCTGTAATATGTCCGCAGTCTCTGGTCATCTCCTGTACTATGTCCGCAGTCTCTGGTCATCTCCTGTACTATGTCCGCAGTCTCTGGTCATCTCCTGTAATACGTCCACAGTCTCTGGTCATCTCCTATACTATGTTCACAGTCTCTGGTCATCTCCTGTACTATGTCTGCAGTCTCTGGTCATCTCATGTACTATGCCCGCAGTCTCTGGTCATCTCCTGTACTATGCCCGCAGTCTCTGGTCATCTCCTGTACTATGTCTGCAGTCTCTGGTCATCTCCTGAACTATGTCCACAGTCTCTGGTCATCTCCTGTAGCACATCCACAGTCTCTGGTCATCTCCTGTACTATGTCTGCAGTCTCTGGTCATCTCTTGTACTATGTCTGCAGTCTCTGGTAATCTCCTGTAGTACATCCACAGTCCTCTGGTCATCTGGTCATCTCCTGTACTATGTCCGCAGTCTCTGGTCATCTCCTGTGCTATGTCTGCAGTCTCTGGTCATCTCCTGTAATATGTACACTGTCTCTGGTCATCTCCTGTACTATGTCTGCAGTCTCTGGTCATCTCCTATACTATGTCCGCAGTCTATAGTCATCTCCTGTAGTACGTCCACATGTCTGCAGTCTCTGGTCATCTCCAGTAATATGTCCACAGTCTTTGGTCATTTCCTATACTATGTTTACAGTCTCTGGTCATCTCCTGTACTATGTTCGCAGTCTCTGGTCATCTCCTGTAGTACGTCCACATGTCTGCAGTCTCTGGTCATCTCCTGTACTATGTCCGTAGTCTCTGGTCTGGTCATCTGTACTATGTAGTCTCTATGTCCGCAGTCTCTGGTCATCTCCTGAACTATGTCCACAGTCTCTGGTCATCTCCTGTAGCACATCCACAGTCTCTGGTCATCTCCTGTACTATGTCTGCAGTCTCTGGTCATCTCTTGTACTATGTCTGCAGTCTCTGGTAATCTCCTGTAGTACATCCAGCCTCTGGTCATTTCCTGTAGTATGTTTGCAGTCCATTGTTTCAGAATATTTTTTTCTTGTTTTCCTTCTTTATAACTTAGGTGCATCTTATGGTAATGTGCGTCTTATGGAGCAAAATATACGGTAAGTCTTTCATAATGTGCTATTATTGCAATGCATACTAGCACAATATGCACTGAACTTGCAGAGAGACTTTTTTTTAAACATACAAGAGTTTAGTACCACTATAAGAGGGACCCAGCAGGTTTACTTATGGTGGGCTGACAAGACCAGTCAGGCCACACAAGGAGAGAGAGAGCAGCAGTGACTGGTCTTTACAAAAAGCTACTGCACAAAGAAAAAGTTTCATATTGGATTACTGCACGGATCTTGAAGAAATACACAAGGCCCACCAAGATTCAAGTAAGAACAAACATGCATCTTTTATTTAGATACTATTTGCCTATCCCAGAGTTCTGCCTTAAAGCGGTTCTAAAGTCTAATAGTTTTTTTTCTACCTTAATGCTTTCCCTACATTAAATTGGTTGTAAACCCTTACATATACCCAGTGAACTGACTGGTCTCAGGTGATACACAAAGATGAAACAAATCCTCCTACAGAAGTTGTACCTGCTTATCTGCAGTCCTCTCTTCTCTACATCCATTCAAAGAGCAGAATTTATACAGCTTGCCTGAGCTTCCAGGAGCAGGGGGCGGAGAGCTGAAATTACACTCTGTAGAGCTCAGTGAGGAGAGCTCTGAGAGATGATTTAAGGGAAGGGACACCCCCCCTCCACATAGCTCACAGGAACAGAGCTGAGGCTGTCAATCTGCTGGAGATCCGTCCCCTGTCAATATTTTTTCTTGGTGTCAGGAAAACCTGTCAGAAGTGATTCATGCTAATAGCAGAAGAACAAGGTAGCAGACAGAAATGACACTTAGTGCTCTTAATTGATACAAGTACATACTATAGAGGGATGCGCTTTGTTCATATTTCATGTCTGAGGTTTACAATCACTTTAACCACTTGCCTTCTAGAGGATTTATTGACCATCAGGACCAGGTCATTTTTGTGCGATATGGCACTGTGTTACTTTAACTGAAAATTGCGTGGTCATGCAAAGCTGTACATAAATTATGTCCTTTTTTCCCACAAATAGAGCTTTCTTTTGGTGGTTTTTGATCACCTCTGCGTTTTTTATTTTTTGCGCTATAAACAGAAAAGCCCCAACAATTTTGAAAAAAAAAAAAAACAATATTTTTTACTTTTTGCTATAGAACATGTCCAGTAAAAAAATTAAAAAAATCTAATTTCTTCATACATTTAGGCCGAAATGTATTCTGCTACAAAAAATATCAATAAGTGTATCTTAATTGGTTTATGTGAAAGTTAGAGTGTCTACAAATGGTGGTATATATACTGGAATTTTTTATTTTTATCTTTTTTATACTAGTAATGGCAGTGATCAACGACTTATAGCGGGACTGCAGGACTGCTGCGGACATTCTGACACCGGGGAAGGGGGGGGACTGACTAACTGCCACTGACATCCCCAGTGATCAGTGCTAATAAAAAGCACTGACACTGTACTAATGACACTGGGCAGGAAGGGGTTAACACCTGGGGAAATCAAAGGGTTAACTGTTAGCTGTGTGTTGTTTTACATTATGTGCTGTGTGTGTTTTACTAGGGAGACATGCTGCTTTGTATTTCTCTGCTGTGCAGCATGTCCTTGCCGGCAGGAGAGAGACTTGTGTTGTTTGCACACAGGCCTCTCCACTGTCAGCTTTCCCCGACGATCCCCAGGTGCCGGGGGGAATCTCCGTCTGGGACCCAGTGATTGACAACCCTAGCCGCCAATGGCGGCGCGGGGGTAGGGCGGCGCACGCACGTGCGCTCCCTACCCAGAAATGCAAATCACGTATATATATATATATATGTGAGTTTGCGCAGCCCTGCCGCCTTGTAGCAGTAGTTCTAAAGTGGTTAGTGGTACTAAACACACACTGCTTAATTAACATGGTCACTTCTCTTTCTGTGTATAGATGATGGCAATGCAATTATTTTAATTTAAAAAAAAATAATTCTAAGTACCTTTTTCCTAATCCATATACAGTTGTCACATGACCCAACTCTTTCCCAGCCTGTTTGCGGGGAATCATAAGCAGGAGGAGCTTCTAGTCCTCTGCTGATGGTCACATGTTCAAAATTAATAAAAAGCCTTTGGGATACAGAGTAAAAATAAATAATTAAATTAATAAAACGTTCACACTAGCCTTGTGTGCAGGCGGCAGAGAGGCGTTTGGGAAGCGTTTTTTTTTACTGCTTACCAAACGCCTCTGCCAATTCTGCACATTACAGCACATGGTGCTGTTATGGGAGCATTTGCGTCGCGTCGCGGCAAAACGGACTCCTCTGGTCGAGTCAGGAGGCTTTGAAGCCTCCTATTCTCGTCTATGGTCAAAATCATAAAAAGCTCTACTGTATTATAGGTGGTGGGGCGTTATTAACGCTCGTTCAAACGCCTACAGAGCGCTTGCGGTTTGCCGAGCGTTAAAAAACGCTCTGCAAATAATTGCCAAACGCTATATTAATAAAAAAGTGTTTAAAATTGTCATAGAAATATGTATTTTAAAACAAATCTTTATTATTTTTTGGCAACAACATGGTGTTTGGGGATTTTTGCCATTCACAGGCTGTGTCACACCCCTCCAGTGTGTGTCTTAGAATAACAGGGAGCAGAAAAAAAAAGAGGAAAATGCACTGGAATGCATCAGGGCGGCACCAGAACGCATAAAAAATGCATCAGAAATGCACTTGGAATGCAGAAATTGTGGTCTGAACCAGCCCTGAAAACAGACACCAGTAGCTATATTTTCTATTCAGGAAAATTTACATCTCAGTACATACACTACATCACACAGCCAAGTCAAGAGAAGACCTTGGCATTTCTCCCCTTTAAACAGTGAGTGCAAGAATGGGCATGTGACATACCACCCGTTAAGATATCTGCCCATCTATGATCAGTATTATGTATCTCATAATTGTAACTAGCACTGCCTTGTCAGTTAGGTGCTTTGTAAAGCGAGTCGATTAAAAAATTTGCCAAATGTTAAGGGCATTTAAAACTGAACTCCAGGAACAAGACAAAATCTACCCTTGCCGTGTCCCACCACCACCATTTCACTGGGTTAATTTATAGTTTTAGCTAGGGGCAGGGCTGCTGTTAGAAACCACGGGGCCCTGTACAGCCAACCTGACCAGGCCCCCCCCCCCCAAAAAAACAGTTTACTTTCCAAAAAAAAAAAAACAGCCCTTTTCCATCTTTATAAAGTTCCATTACCTTGTTACGCAGGATTTTTGACAGTTCTTTTCTGATCCCCATGGCTCAGTATCTAGCCTAGTCAGTGCTTCCACGTAAGAGCTAACAAACTCATTGACTATTTATACACTGACACTAATTGCAACTTAAAAAGCTGTGGGACATTAACTTCTAATTGGCATTGTAAACCGTGTGTGGCACCTTGTGTATCTGTACCATGGCCATACATTTCAGGGTATGTAAACTTTTGATCATGGCCTTTTGGTTGATTTCTGTTATCATTATGATTTTAAAAGGAACCAAACAACTATTTGATAATAAATGGCATCATATGATCATCATCCTTCAATAAAAGAGCATTTTTTTGGCATGATCAGTCATATGTTCAATACCAATGCCAAAATTTCACAATTTCTGCCAGGGTATGAAAACTTTTGAGCACACAACTGTATACCTCCATTTGTAAATGCTATAACTTTCACGTAAACCAATTAATTTACACGTATTGGGATTTTTTTTTAGCAAAAGACATGTAGCAGAATACATTTTGCCCTAAATTTATGATGAAATGTAATTTTTTTTTTTTTTTTTTTTTCATAGCATAAAAAATAAAAAATGCGCAGGCGATCAAATACCACCGAAAGAAAGCTCTATTTTACCGCGCAATTGTCAGTTAAAGTAATGCAGCGCTGTAGTGCAAAAATTGGCCTGGTCAGGAGGGGGGGGGAGGTAAATCCTCTGGAGGGCAAGTGGTTATTAGCCCTGCACTGCACTTGGAGACACCATGGAAGGGCCCACAGCACAGAGCCGGGGAACAGCAATGGAGCCACCTTATCCATGCATCCCTAAACTAAAGGAGCATTTAACCCCTGCAGTGCAAAGGGTAGAGTTTGTTCCATTACTGGAGTTCAGCTTCAGGATGTTTCTGCCAATCTATCCATATAATTTAAAGATATATGTATCACAGTTTTGGAAGGATGAACAAATCATACTCTGTCCTAAAATAAATATCTAGTTTGCACTAAAAAAGTAAAGCAAGAACTGCTCTCATCTATTAGTCGTTATATGTGCAGGACAGCTGAAATAGTTATTTTTATCCTGTGATGAAAACATGAGCCT